TTAACAAAAGAGCGCCGCAATATTTTCGGCTGAAGGACAATAAAGAAGGCATTTAACGCGATTTGAACAAAATACAACAGGTTTTAAGGACCATCGAATGATTTCCACTCGTTCCGACCGGTCTTCGAAGACTTTGCACTTTGGCGTTGCCATTTGCACTGACATTTCGCTTCGCGGGCATATTTATTGTCGCTAGCAAATTGTCGCTTAGACAAATAGAAGATTTTTAAAAAAAATAAACTTTATAAGCGAAATTGTTATGTAATATTGAAATATATTTTAGGCAAAATTTCCCAAATAATGAAAGAATTTTTCATTAAAAAAATGATAATTTTATAAAAGAGAAAAAAAATAGAAAGAAATGAATAAAATTAAATGAAAAAGAGAAATGGAATAATAAAACACGAAATGAAATTCCCATACAAATAAATGTTAATGGCATTGTAGATGGGTGGTCGTCGCTTGGTTCGCTTAGTTCCTTGGTTGGTCGATTGGTACTCGCTTGGTTGATAGGTCGGTCGACATTTTAATTTTTCAAATGGTTTAATTAAATTGAAAAGTATTCTTTGAAAATCAAAATTTTCTTGTTTCTCACCGAACAAGTCGGACGAAAAGTTTAGTCAAATACTATCATTCGACAATTTTATTTCGAAACGATTAATTACCACAGATAGACAAATGGTAATCGTTGAATGCTCGGTCCCGCTCAGTGTTAAGCGAACGTACGTACAGATAGATGTGCCAAAAGGTCGAATGGCACGAAAGATCGGATGGCACGAAAGGTCAAAAGAGAAAGGTCGGATGGCACAAGAAGGCGAGTGATACCAAGGGCAGACTGGCGTACAGTTCGCCGTATTCTACGTTGTTGACAAATTCGTTTATAGATATCTAATTGAACGCTATTAAACTGCACTAATTTACCTAATTTATTCGATAAAATTAATGAAACGAAATTATTTATAAAAATGTAAATGAAATAAAATAAAACATTAAATTGCATGGAGAAGTGAAAGATTTTAGATAAGAATTAAATGTTAAAAAATATTAATATAATAACATTATATTAATATTAAATATTAATATTATATTACTATTGTATTAATATTAAATTAAGAATTAAAAAATTGCTTAGAGATTATCAACAGCGCTCAATATTTTAAAAATATTTAAATTAATTTAATTTTTCGATAAAATTTATGCTTTTAAAATAAAAAATTTAAACTACTTGAAGCAAAAATTTAAGGAATTTCCGATGAGAGAAAACAAATAGAAAATTGAAAAAAAAACTAAGCAAGTGGTTAGCGCTCATGCTTTCCGCTTAGACCAGTTCCACTGACAGGAATTTTTGCTAGGGAGCCTTGTTTTTTTCTAAAAGTGAAAATTTTCCACATCATTTGTTTTTAAGGAAAAAAATTTTTTGTAAATTTCCACAAATTTTCGCCCTCGTTTTAAAAAAAATAAATTAAGAAAAAAAGCGAGTTTTAGAATTTAATATCCATGATTGTTTCTTGATAAAAAAAAATAAATAATTCGTCAAAATATAAATTCATTACAAATTCCTCCTCACTTTATTCCTTTCCGCTTCCTTCTTTCGTCCATCCATTCGTTTATTTTTAAAAATTCATTTAAACAAAAAAATTTAATGAATAAATGAACTGAAATTTCGCATCGCGAAAAAAACTTGTTTGCGCTTCAATTAATTAGAAATTTTGATGAAATTTTCAGAAAATATCCATGAGAATGAATCTTTTTCTATAAAATTGATTTTCATTAAAATAATATGATTATTAAAAAAAATATTCCTTTCTCCTTGGCCCCTCTAAGAAAGGCCAAGGAAGATCTTTTCTTGGCTCTTAACTATTCCTAATAATGCGATCTTCGAGACATCACATGTTGTTGTTCTTAGGATCTGTTTAGAGCCACCTTTCTAGTTTACGAGCCACAATCACGATTGCTGCTACCACTACGACCACGTGTAAATCTACATCACACATGCGTTGAATGCACGATGGTAGCGTGTAATATATGCACGTATGTAAATTAGAAGTGCGTAAAGTGCCTGGTACCTCCTCAATTATCTTTAAGAGGACATTTTGGCATATTATACGATTGCTGAATTCTTTATAAAATAAAATATTCATTAGAATTTAAAGTGCATACATGCAACATGCAACATGCAACATATAGAACGAATTCTACTTGTTCAATTTTCATTTTCGTTGTTCGTTTTTCATAAAAATATTTTGCAAAAGAAAACGACGACGATATCCATTCTAAATAAATAATTTTATATAATTATAAAACGTAAAATTTTATTTTAAAAAAAAGCCCGAAACTGCAAGTTTTCCAGAAAAATGAAAAGCTGATTTTTGTTAAAATTTCCTCTTTCACTGCTTATTCTATTTATAAATTTTAGGGCGAAGAATGTTTAAAAGATATTTCAAATATATTTTTCCAGAAATTTTTTAAAATTTTTTGGAAAGTATAAACATAAAATATGCACAACACATAAGTAATAATAATATTTAACAAATAATAAAACATTTTGCTCGCTTTAAAAAGAAATTCGCATCACATCGTTTGATTAGTTTGCCCTCCTGTCATTCGTATTGCTTAACTGCAATTTTTTAGAAAAATTTTCGTCGTGAAAAAAAGAGCATTGCTCGTTGTCGTAGCCATCGTCGCCACCGTCGCCGTCGTCATCGCCACCGTCGCCATTCGCCATAATCATTATTATCATTACTATTGTCGTAATTTGTCTCGCCACCGCCATATGTTTTCCTTAGAAATTATTGCAAAATCGATTCAAGCAATGGATTTAGGGAAAAGAAAATGGGAAAAAAATTTTCGTAGTTTTCTTTCTCATCACCGATTCTACATCATGTAAATCTTTACTCAGTCACTCACCAGTAACAAAGCCTTTTTTTCGATACACATTCTTATCATTCTTATCATATCACTTGATATATTTGAAATTACTTTGTATATAATTACATATCATTTTTCTTCTAATATTTCTTTTAATATTTAAAAATTAATTTTTTGAAAAATAAAAATACAAATTATCTATCGAAAAATTCTTTTTTTTCACACTTTTCACTATTAAAAGATTGAAATTTTAATTTAATTCTTTAAAAGTTGGTTGATTTTATCTTACCACATTTTATCACACGAAATTAAATTAAAATGCAATGCCCCTCGTATAGATATTATCAGTTAGCCATTCTTTACATTATCACTACCATTATCATTATCATCGTCGCTATCATTATCACTATCGCTGTAGTAAATTTTCGAAACTTTCGCCAAAAAAATAATTTAAAAAGTATGAAACCAATGTTCTCACTGTTTTCATTGTCGTCATCGTTTTCATATATGTTTTTGCCGTTATAAAAGTCCAAATTTTTTTTCAAAGAAAAAAATGATAAATCAGTTTTTTATTTAAAAGTAATTGTGAAAATCAATCAACATTTGCAAAGGACTTTTTAAAAATTTATTTTTAACTTTTTTTCGAAGCAATTTGTCTTAAAGAAAGTTTGCTAATAATTTTCATTGGAAACCGGAAACGATTACACTTTTGCTTTGCTAAGAATCTTTTTTTTTTTGAAAAAAATACAACTTTGCAATTCATTCATCTTTCATTCATCCCAAACTTCTCAACCTCCAACTCGAACTCACCTCGGTCTCCCCTGACCTCGATCCCTCTCGACCTCAACACCACTCCTCACCCCTATACGCCAAAAACTCTTCAACCTCCAGCCAATAGAAAACCAATTTTCAGCGACGGATATACACACATCACGGCCCGTACTACCAAATGTTCCTCATTCTTAATACGTAAAAAGTCAAATTTCCACTGAATCACAATGACAATGTCTTAAAGTTCTTTAAATCAAAAAATACGCCAAAATTTCGAACATGAAAATTTGTATTCGGCCATATACAATTTATGTGCTATTTATAATTCACGTCATATTAATTTTAAAAATTTATTTAATGCCAAATCAATTTTAAATATTTATATACAAATACACAAGCATAAAATAAATCTTTTCTCATTTTCATTTTCATTACATTAAAAAAGTTCAAAAAAACCAAAAAGAAGGAATCTAAAAATGTAATAAGATGACGAACCAAATTTTAAAATAAAACCAATTACAAATTACTAAAAATAATAAATTTTTGTAAAAACATATTGATTCGGATTTTTTTAATAAATTAGTAAAAAATAAGTTAAAAGAATTTTCCATTTAAAAAAGATGATTAGTTAAAAAAACGAATAAAAATGAAAATATTCAACTAATTATTCCGAAGACAAAACAAAAACTTTTTAAATAAATGAATAAATTTTTTCGCCAATCGTAATTAAATTTCTGAAGCATCATTTCATTAATAAAATGAATAAACACACATAGCAAATTCATTGATTTACAGATTATACAATAAATAAATTATAATAACTTATGCAATAATCAACCTTTCCGAACCGCTTTTAAAAATTTCTGAGCAATATATTTATTTATGTACATAAACGGCAATAAATGAAATGTTTTCAACAAAAAATTTCTAACAAAAAAACATTCAACATACATATATGTATACGAGAATTTTTCAACATTTATTCAGTATTTTAGATCGAAAGAACAAAGGAAAGGAACGAACGAATGAATGGAAGGACTGAACGAAGAAGGAAGGATAATCTCTCATCATCTCTTCAAATTGCCACCATTAAATTAAACTAAGCCGAATATAAATTTTAAATAAATAAAAGAAATAAATTTACTAATCATTTAACCCAACAACTGTTAAATAAATCTTATAAGCCCATGTTTTGTACCATTTTTGCCTCCTAGAAAAATTTGATTAATTTAAGCTAATAATTCAAATTTAAATAATATATTTTCGTGAAAGACAAACCGATAAAAGAAAAAGCGAAGTAACACTGAAAGATTGCAGCTATATATTACACATAAATAAGGAACAAAAAAGAAAGAATTCATTTAATATGAACCTAAAAGAAAAGGTCCAGTAATTGGCGATGATTCTGTGTCGCGAAACGAGCTTGAACTTGAGATAAAACCACTTGAAGGAGTTGAATCTGTTGGATAAATAACAGCTGAATGATCAGGAAACGATTCACATTGTCCATTTAAATATCTTCGCGGTAAATGTCGCGAATTCCACGTTATATCAACAACTCGAAATGAAACGGCATTCATCCGAAAATTATTCTTATCACTTTTTGTCGATGTTTCATCAGCTGAAGAAGATGCTATTGGATTACTTTCATCATTATTATATGACGCCATTAAATTATCGTTATATGAATGTTTCGTATTATCGTTTATAAGATCCTTCGATTCACGAAATAAATGTGGAAAAGTTTGCGATTTAGACGATAAAACTGATGGTGCCTTCCCATGATCCATCATTGCTTGATAAAACATAAAATTGCTATTTGTCAGTTCATCGCCCTTCATCCATGGATGATTTAAAATTTGTTCCAACGTACAACGATTTTTACCATCAAATTGCAAACACTGCATTATTAAATTTTTGCATCCTGAAAACAAATCAAAATTTAGGAAAAAACAAATGATCAAATAATAAGCAAAAAATATATAATTAACAATAATGGTATTCATAATAATAAAACAATAAAACAAAGCATTAAATAAACAAACCGGCTGAAAGATTTTTAGAACGCAATGAGATTAGTTTTCGTTGACTTGAAATTATATCTTGATCCGAATGAAACGGAATATCGCCACAAACCATATCATACAAAAGTACACCAAGTGACCAAACAGCTGCTTCAAAACCATCATATTTACCATGCAATATCCATTCAGGTGGACTATAAACTCGCGTTCCTGTATAGCCATTATATTAATTAATTTTTAATTTCAAAAGAAATTCTTTTTATTCGTTTTATTTAAAAATTCATTCAATTTTGTCCCCTTTTTAGTAAATAATTTTCTTTACGACAGATGAAAAAAACAAAAAATATTACAACCAAATATTTATTTTTTATTTTTCAATAACAAATAAATGCGTCTCATAAATTTTTTATTATCAATAATTTATCATATTTCAAATTCTTTCCTATTCATTTTTATCAATTCTTTTAAAATAAAAAATATTTAACAATAAATAATAATTAATAATAATTTTTCGCCAAATTTCTAATAAAATCTAATGAATCGCCGCCACTATCGATTTGCAAATATAAATACAAACAAATAATATGACAAATGCAAAGTAAACAACTTTATAAGTATACGTCTTCGCCGAAATATTTCACGATTTGTAATTTTGTAATAAAATATTTGTAATTTTATTAATTTAAATGTTGAATTATTTTAATAAATAGATAAAATAGATAAATAGATTAAATATGAATCAAAATTATAATAAAATATTAGCAAATAGACGAGCCATATAATATATAACATGCAAAATTCACGTGAGCCACATGTAAGACGTATGTTATGTGTGTGTGTGCAAATATGTATGTGCATCTTTGCTTCTGTTTCACCACCATTTATGACGTTATTTCTCTTATTTTTAGAAATGGAATTTAATCAATTTTATTTCAAAGCAATCTATAAAATATTTGGCAAATGTTATATAAAAATTTTTGTTAAAAAATATAAAATGAAATAAGTTAAAGGCGTATAAATAAAAAAATATATGCAGAAATTATATAAAAACTTCATGAAGATTATTTTTAAAAAATTTTGAAAAAAATTCTCTGAAGTTAAAAATCCGCCACCCACATTTTACATCTAAATAAAATGTAACACCGGATGCAAGAAAAAAAAAGAAATGAAATGAATGATATATGAAATAAGATCGGATGAGATAAGATTCTACTAAGAATTAAGTTGTTCATCGTCTCAGTTTTAAAGAATTCATTTCACTAACAATTTTTTTACACAAATTTATTTGTTGTAGAAGAGAAATCAATTGTTATTACTATTTTTTGCGATTTCAATTTTAAAATCACTTATTAATTAAATGTAAAATGTTATATATTTAAAAATTATTTAAAACTAATTAAATTAATATATCAATAAGTAATCGAAAAAAGCGAACCTTCAAAATCAACGAATAATTCACCATTTGGTTTGCAATAAGCCGACGAACCAAAATCAATTAATTTCAATTGGCCTGTTTTTAAATCGACAACTATATTTTCATCTTTTATATCTCGATGTATTATATTTACAGATGAACAAGCAATAATCACTTCAATTATCTGAAAATTATTATGAATTTTTAAAATAAAAAAAAGAAGAAATATATCAAACAAATAAAGAAATAGAATAAATAAAAGAAGAAAACAGAGCTAACCTGTTTAAAGAATATTCTAGAAATATTTTCATTTAGAACTCCATGTTTTGAGATATAACTATAGAGATCTTCACATGGTGACGGACGTTCCATAACAATCAAATAACCATCATTACGCTCAAACCAATCATAAACTTGTATTACGCCAACAATATTTGCACATTCCAATAGAAATATTAGTTCCTGTGGTACTACACGTCCACTATTTGGTAACTACAAGACCTTTTTGCATTTTCTTCATTAAATATTAAGTTTATTAAACAGAAAAAATATTCTTGCAAAATATTGCAAAAAAAGAAACCTTCTTTAATTTCGTAACGCTGGAACGTGGAATAAATTTAATAGCAACAGGTAAACCATCAGATATTCGAAAACCAGAATAAACCGTGCCATAGCCACCTTTACCTAATTCAACACCTGTCTTATATTTACGTTTAAATGTTCCATTATCATGATAATCTGCAACATTTTTGAATTTTTCAGGGGAAATATTAAGATTTCTTTGTAACAAATAAAAAAATAAAAACGAACCAGGTAAAAGAATGGCATCATGATTTGATGACGAGGAATTACTTGAAGATGGTAATGCAGACGCAGATGCAGACATGGATACAGATACAGATGCGGATACAGACGCAGATACAGATGCAGACGCAGATGCAGATGCAGAAGCAGATGTCAAAGAATTCAAGCGTCCAAGCAATGTCATCTTCTTTAGATTACTAAACATATATAAAATATTATCGAAACTGGACCAATTTATCCAATTCACAGCTTTACTTTAAAGATAAATTATTGAGCAATTTTTTGATAACTACCAATAAATTGATGTTCGTTTTTTCCTGCAAATATTTTCCTTATCAATAAACTGATCGGTGATTGACTACTAAATATTTCCGTTTTACGAAATAAACGACTGAATGCACACGAATTAATAAATAAAGAAATTCTAATACTGATAACAATAGATCCAAATTTGATATCACCTGATACTATATGATAGTAAAGCGACAGACGAGAGCAAATATGATACGATAATTCAGACAAACGCTTAAAAAAAGGAAAAGGAAAGACGCAAAAGAAAGAGAAAAAAGTGAAACGTCTCGTAACAAATGGCAATCGAATGAATTCACTTGAATTAATACCATTAATTAAAACAAAAACGAAATTTTTTTAAATAAATGTTTATAAACAAACAAATAAATTAACAATAATATATTTTTTGATTTTTAATCACTTATTTCAGTTCCTATTTTGAAAAAAAGGGTAAAAAGCTTGAAATACTAGAAAAGCTGAAATAATATTAAAATTTTGCAAGAAATTATACCTAAAAATAGAAAAATCAATAAAAAAAATTCATAGAATCATTAATGTGGAAATTTCCCGGAAATTGTTGCAAAAAAATACTTTAAAATTTCCAATACCAAATATTTTTTAAAAAATACTATACTTTTAAAATTAAATATATTAAAATCAAAATAACTCTGACAAATTTCGTCGATTTCACTAAAAAAACATTCAAAACATTCAAAAAGAAAGAAATTTCACAGACACAACACTATATCGTTTCAACTATGTTTACTATAAAAATGAGACAAATAAGCTCAGAATTTAATCGACTTCCAACGAAATTTATCATAAATTTTAATAAAAAAATTGAATTAATAGTGAAATTGAAAATTTGGTGCAGAAAAGGAAAAACTGCAATTAATCGACGAATATTTATTAACTCGTGTAAACTAAAGATATTTAAGATAATAAACGTAGCCAAATTAATTTAATTTATAACAAAAAAAAATTCGCGAAAAAAGTAGAAAATTCGAAAAGATCGACTGAAATACGTGGCGCCGAACTCACCGAAATACGTATAACATCCGGCACGCCACACCATGCACCAGGCCCACGTCACGTGCAACTCGTGTCACGTCATGTGACACACTCGTCTACGAAATATTCCCGCGCGCAAACATACACACACCACACATCATCACTACCCACAAAAATTTCGTCAAATCACACTCAAGTAGGCGTTGCTTAAAACATTACTTTATGCAAAACTCCGCCCAGTACCCGCGTTGGCATTTTGCCAAGTATTTAAAAAACCTTTGTTTTTTCTTTTCTTTTTTGAAATATTCTTCTCAGTAGAAAAGCGAGCAAATTACAAAGATTTTTTTCTTAAAAAATTTTATTGGCGAAATTGCAGGAGACATTGGCACTATTTCTCGTGTTTGCGCTACGATCAGACGCGAATGAATTTTTTTGGCAAAATATTCAACGACGACTTTTCGGACACGAATCACGTGATCTATTGAGAGGGCGCAGAGTGCCAAGCTTCTAATTAGAGACCAGCAAAGCTAGACGGTTAGATGAACTGCAAAAACGAAATGGGCTGGCACAGAGTCTTGAGAGGATCAGACATGCAGAATAAAGAAAGGAGGAGTAGAAAAAATGGAGAGACCAGGCTATAGTAACAAAAAGAATGGCCGAATACATGACGAAGGCCAGAGGGTGCAGGGAAGAAAAGGGAATCACAATGGTTTGTACAAAAATTTCTGCAAAAAAATGGCGTGACGAATAATGACGTCATAAGAATGTCTGTGAGAAAAAACGGTAAAAAAGCGTAGAAAATTTCCCACGTAATTTTTTAACGTTTTTTTAAAATAAAAATTTTGAAGTTTTGGTATAAAAGGTTAGAATTTTTATTAAATTTTGATTATTTCAGAATTACTGTAAATCTTAAATAATTTTCAAAAAAATTTGCAAAATTCTTATTTAAAATTAATTTAGAATAAATAAATTAATAAATCGATTTAAATTAATAAAAACCGAAATTTTCAGAAATAAATTAAAAAATGGAAAATTTACGTTTGAAAGATAGAAACAGCGACAATAAAATTTCGAAATGCATGATTTCAAAATGATTTTAGAGAGAGGTCAAACGATTTTAGTAGCAAAGGTCAATACATCCGAAGGGGTCACACGAGCAGAGCCGACAATTATGCGAGTTAGTGGGTAGGAAAAGATAATAATTTCAGCAATAATAATAGAAATATTTATGCGTCGCAGCAGCCGCCGTTCACTTTTATTTCATTCTATTCCATTTTTATTATGTTTTAATTATTTACTTTATAACTATCTTTCTTTTATGGAATTTTCCTTTAAAATAATTGTTGTAAATAATAAAATATAACAAAACGAAAAATATTTATTTGAACTAATGCAGCAAAATTTTATTTATTTATCGCATTTTTATCGTTCTCTTTCCTCTTAAATTTTCCTCGATGTTCAAATTATTTAAATTATAAAAGTGATAATTATGATGTGGAAAATTCACCGTAAAAACGAAAGCCGCGATTCGTTCGATTTTGCTATATGGCTGCGAGACATGGCCAGTGAGAGAGGAGGATATTAAGAAGTTATCTGCCTTTGATCACTCTTGCCTGAGGTACATTTTATGAGACCGCCAAGCTGATAAAATCTCACATGATCGCATCCATCTTCAAATGCCACTTGCATAAATATTATCACAGAGCGTCGCCTTCGCCGGTTAGGACACGTTTTTCGTCGCCCACCACAAGAATTGGCACATGTTTCGTTACTGGCTAAATCTTGTGATGGTTGGCGTCAAAAGCGAGGTGGAAAGATTAGGACCTGGAACGATATAGTCAGGAAGGATTTCGAAAGTATAGGTGGAAAATACAAGCAAGATATGGACTTGGACGACGGGAAAAGGAGTGGCTTCCATTACTATCGACGACAGCATCAAATTGCGCAGCTTGGAAGCGTCTTACCCTTGTAGTCGTTGGAGCCAGCCTAACCAGTAATGATGAAAGCTGCTAGAAGAAGAATGTGGGCTATTAGATATTTGCGAGCTGATAAAAGTATTGTCGCATATCTTATCAGTAGCCAAGACTTAAACACCGTCATAATTAGTAATTCGGCAATTATACATTTGTTATAGTCCACAAAATGTTTGCCGAAAGAAAAGCATGCAAAATAGAAAAAAATTTTTTCTTCACAATGGCAAAAAATGAAAATAAAATAACACAGTAAATTAATAAATTTTCGCATCGTCATTTAATAAATCGAAAGTTTTTTAACTAAAATTAGTAAAACAAAAGTAAAAACAATTAAATTAAGCGAGCATTTTTTGCTGCCTTCTTTATTCATCTAATCGAACAACGAACTAACCGATCAACCAACAAGCCAACCAACCACCAATAAACCGACCAATCACCAAAAGCCAACCAACCGCCAATAAACCGACCAATCTCCAACAAACCAACCGATCATCCGACCATATTCATGACCGTAATTGAAATAAACGGATTTTTTTCGTGAAAAAAACTTTTAATATTTTTTATTTCGGTGGAATATTTCGAAGCAATTTTTTTAAAGGCTGAAAATTTAAAAAATTTTCCTTGAAAAATTTCCTGTTTCTTGGCAGATTGAAGAAATTGCCACAAAATTTATTTTAAAAATTGAAAATGAAAGATAAATATTTGTTGAGTAGTAATTCAATATGGTAAATAAATTGCGCGAAAAACTGAAAAAAGTAAATAAGTAAGTACAAGCAAGTGGAAAGTAAATAAGTAAGCAACGAAGTAAAGTTGCAACTAAATAAATAAAGCAGCCTCTGAAGAGGTTTATAAATAAGTGCTATAAAATTAATAAAATTTTGCACGCAATATCAAATATCAAAATAAAATAATTATTAATAATGAATGAGTCGTCTAAAATTTGTTAAATACATAAGTGAATAAATTAAATTTTGTTTGTTCAAAACTATTTTATTGCAGATAAATTTTTGAAAATTTAAGAAAAAGAAAATTTGGTTGAAAAAAAAAATGAAAAATTATTCAAAATTATATAACGAAATCTTGAAATACAGATTTTTGTTCAAGAAAATAAAAATAAAGGATTTAAAATATGAAAAGAGTAATTGAAATGAATGGATTTTTTGATTGCTGGTTTTCACGATTGCTTCGTTCCTCGGTGCAATATTCACCAAAAGCAATTCACCCAATTCACTCTGCTGCACCACTGCTGCTATTAGCTACGTTGCGAAAAGTTTTAGTTACCACCTCGTTGGTTGGCAATTCGCTGATCGAGAAAGTTTGTCCACTTTAGTTATTCACTATCGTCGGTTTACAAATGCGACAAACCAGCAAAACATATGTTGTTTACAAAAACTTTTAAGCTAATAATAATAAAAATAAAATAAAAATAATTTTACACACCTGTGTCATGTGAATAAATTATGAAAAATTGTAATGAATAGATTTTTGAAAAAAATAAAATTCGATTATTTTTTTTGAAAGTTTTTACGAATTTTTAAGGGCTAATTTAAATCGAAAATAAATTTATGTATTATAATTATTTATTTAAATCAAATAAAATTTTTTGAAAATATATGCCAAAGCGAAAATATATGGCAAAAATACGATGAATTTTGTCAGAAAAAATGAATGAAAAATGTTTCTTAAATTTTCTTATCATAACACTGATAGCTTCCTTTTCTCTTTATTACTCCTTTTTATTTTGCGTTAACATTAACATTTATCAGTACGCATCAACATTATCATGCTACACCCCTTATCACTTTTGTCATATTTTGTCTTATTCATACCAAAATTAAAAATCACTATATTGTTATTGATGAATACCTTCGATTTTAGAATTTAAACTCAAACAAACAAATAAATTTTC